ATCGTAAACACAAACAAATAAATTCTGATAAGCTTGTTGAACAAGGAAGTTCTAATGTTGAACAAGAAAGTTCTAGCGTTGAAAAAGAAAGTCCTATCATAGAATTAGAAACTATTGAAAATGAAAAAATGATTATCGATGATGACTCAGATTTAAGTGTGAATGAAGATATTGGTGATAAATGGAAATCAGTTCTTAAAGAATGGTCTGAAGATCTTATTTCAGAAGAAGAAAGCGTAAATAAAGTAGAAAGTTTGTTTTTTGAAATAGAGGAAACAGAGGACTTATCTTCCAATGAATTATTAGTAGGTTTGAGCCATCCAGCAGATGACCCTAAAGGAAAATGGAAACTTGCCAATTTATTTGAGTTCGAATTTTCAACACCTTTATCTATAAAAAACCTGATGATAATTCAAGACAATTAATGCAGTTTATGTCTTAAAACATTGCGATTCTTCTTTTTTTTTGATTTTGACATTTTTTTTTTTAACTTAGTTGTTTCGTACTAAGTGAAAAAAATTAAATAAAGCAATTTTGGTTCGCAAGTAATTATAGATTAGTATTCTATTGCAAATGTTTTTTAATTTGGCTTTGTGATAAGAATTACGTGAGTATGAAATTTATTTTTAGAATTATTCTATTTTAAAAATCAACGACTTGATATTTACTAACTAATTGCATTAAAATAAATGCGTAAGTATAGGATATAAATTTAAATATGAAGCTAATTTTAAAGTTGTAATAAGACTGTCATTGGCACTTATTAGAATCCACATATAACATTGCTATTTAGTACTCAACGGAGTACATAAAAATTTATTTCGTAGTATCATTATAGTAATGCCTTACTTAATTAATGGATAGCTTTTCCAAATTGCTCAGGTAGGTGGCTTTACAAGTCTCTTTTTTTTTTTGTCTTTTTGGTAGCTTTATTAAATCTCGAATTAACTAATATCAAATAAAATATAGTGTCACGACACATATATATATCGATCGATTTAAATTACTAATTGAAGTTCTGTAAAAAAAAAAAAAAAAAAAGCAGCACGTGGGAGTATAAACTCAACCGTGTTAAAATTTTGTAGTATTGGCCTGGAAAGGTTTCAGAAAGAACACACAATTACTTATCGAAAGAAAAGTAGCAATTTGAAAGAGAAACCCGAATTATAACTAGAATTAAAAGGTTTATAATGGAAAAAGAAGCTTTAGACTGCAGGCTAGAGACATTAAAGAAGGTAAGTAAAACTGAGACGAATGGATTTTGAAGATAATCAAAATATCAGAAATAAGATAGAGGATGTTGAAATAAAAATAGAGAATAAAGGTGATGATTTAGCACTTTGTCGACATTGTTTAAGTGATCGTGTATTAGAAAGAAGATTAAGGATCATAAAAGAATCAGAAAAGCTTATTTTACTCAAACGGAAGAGGAGATATGTCATCATATCATCATATTTATCATGAATTAGTTCATATAATCATTCATATTATTGAACATATCCTAACGTTTTGTAATATACAGGAAAGCAAAATTAAAGAAACATTGGAGTATTGTGCTTTATGCGTATTTGTGTTCTTTAGTTAAATATATATACTCGTTGAAGTTTTTTTCAATATGTTAAATCTTTAAAATGTAAAAACGCAAAAAGACTTACACACCCGAGCAAATAGCAATAAGAACGATGCTAGAAGAAAAGAAAAAGTTCAATAATTCCGGAACAGCGAATAGCTTACAAAAAAAAACGAATCAGAAAAGAGACGCCTGTCGTAAATGGCTAAAGATATAGATCTCATAAATAAAGGTACAATTATTACTAACCTTACTAAACCGCGACAATTATTACTTTATATATTTTTGTATAGTAATTATTTTAGAGTTTAAATTAATTATGATTACATCACTAACTATGTCTTAATATTTAGAGATATCGCAATCTTCAATTGTCTTATTAATTTAAATTCTGTGCAAGCTTACGTTCGTACGTACGTAATAGCTACTACAATTAGCTATATAAATAATTTTGGTTTTCTCTGATTTACGTTTACTTCCTGTTTCATAAGCTTCATAATTTTTATAATATACACAAGCGATCTAGTCGACAAAAGTGAACTATCAACATAAGCGACTTAGTCAACACAAATAATCTAATTGCAAATTAATTAACACAAGACGAACTATACTTCTCATGGCATCAAAACTATTCATGGACGGCATACCCGAATTAATGGAAAATATTTTAAATAATCTAAACGATGATATTCACTCTTTATATTCATGTGCACTTGTAAGCCGCTTTTGGTGCAAGATGTCTATTCCTATTCTTTGGAGAGATCCATTTGATTTTAGTAATGAAGAAACATCATTTATAACTAGATATTTTTTATCCCTCAATAAATATGACAGATTTATATTAAATGAATGTGGAATGGTTGTAGAATTTCATAATACTCTATTTCATTATGCAAGATTTTTAAAAGTCTTGGATTTATATACCCTGGATTTCAAAGTTACCGAGTTTATCGATTGCTTGAAAATTAATAGGAAGTAAGCGATAATATTTTTTATTTATTTATACGGTATAAACTAAATAAATAAACTTTGCTCAATTTATTTTCGGTATGTGTATAACGTTTATTAAAATTGTTGTTTTTTGTCAAGTTCCTCTTTAATCGACTATATATTGTTAAATAATCTGACCGTAAATATGAATTTTATTTCTTACATCCTAAACAGTTACAATCGTTAAATTGCTAGCTTATAACTACAAAGTCCATGTGTTGATGAAACATATGAATTGGGATATTTTTATCTTCACAGAATTAACATTAAAAAAAGATAAATAAAAAGCATTCGCTCAGTTCAAAAGATCTGCTAATATGAGCATGCTAAAGGAATCAATTGTCTTGGTTATTGTCACAAATATATGTGACTAATTCAAACGAACAAGCATTGAGGAAACTATTGAAACCGGTAATTATTCCAAGGTATGTGCTATAATTTAGG